TAACGATGCAACTCACCCCTTTATTTATGTCGATCACCCCCGATTCCAAACTTTTGTCCAGTGAGTGTACATGTACAGTAAAACCATTATAGTCTCATCATATTAGAAGCCATTATTATTACATTTCTAAAATCGAATTCGAGTAAGAACTTACAATATGAATGACTATAGAGGGATTGACTGTATATCTACTTATTACAAAAATTATTCGTATCTTCAACACATTTTAAATACATAATTAATGAATATAATGACTTCTCAATATATTAACTTTTTACAAAATTATACAACATTCAACATACAGTCAATTCTCCTAGATGCAATCTGTTAGGACCACAAATTGATAACTTGCATTTAGAGAATAATAAGCCAAAGCTTGCATTTAGAAAGCTTGCATTTAGAAAGCTTGCATTAGGGAGTGTTTACATGTTAATCAGGCTCATTTGAGTATAAATGCACAAAATCAATAAATTTTAATTCGGTAATGATTTTTATATGATTAGTACCGAACATGAGCGTTTTTTCGAAAAACTTCTCTAAAAAATAGCATATGTAGTCTCGAAAATTGCATTATTTAATATAAATTCGATCCCGACACAGTCTCGAACTCCTTTTTTCGTTGTCATCATTCTTGAACCCGATTCCGGTTGATTTTGTATATAAAGAAACATAATGGTTGGATGTTGCTTCTGTATTTGAAATTATCTCAGGTTTAAACGTTATAGCATAACTCATTTTGTGCTCATGTTCACTTGTAAATAAAACTTGCACGCGAAACAAAAAAATAACGACCTCATTTTTTATTATGAATGTAATACAAGAAAAAGAGGAGACTTAACGAAAATGTAAGGCAAACAACAGAAATATGAGGGGGAAAATAAATAAACTAAATAAAAAAACATGAAAAATGCTTATACTTTCAAAAAGAAGTATATTTAAATAATTTTGTATAACGCACATGAGTTTTATCTCAAAAACCATGGTTTATCAGAAAATCGACCTTTTGTCTCGAAATAACGCACATGGACGTACTCGAAATAACGCGTTATTTCGCGGTTTTACGGCATATGAAAAATCTGTGATTAATACTTTAAAATTCATTATTATATATATGTTCAAGATGAATTTGATGTAATAGATAATTTTGATATTATGACTAATATGCTTGAATCATTTATTATATCATTCTGAACTCAAAAAACCATTTGTGATATTTTATTTTCTTGTTGAAATTGAAAAAAAGAGCACACACATGCTATTAAAGTTGGATTATTTTGACAAAAGTTTACATCTACAAATTAATATCGCCAGTTTCTACATCTCAAAAAAATAATAGAAAAGCATATTTTAATTATTTTATTCTCTAAAAGTGTATCTTTTATGGTATATTATACGATTTAACATAGTAAATCGATATCGATATTCGTTAATTCAAAATAGCAAATAATTCTTAATTAATTAATTGAAATATTTAAACTCTTAAGCTTTGTTATATTGAACTGATCTAAGTTGTATATAATCAATTCATTATGCCTTAAATTAGAAAATACAAAAAGACTAATTCTATTTTAAATAGTCGAAATTGAAAATTTATCAATTTAACTAATAGTTTTATAACATAATAAATTATTAATAAAATTGATTTCCATAAAATAAAAATATAAAGTGATCAAATATAATTAAAAATTCATTTTAAAAGCTCCGTTGTTATTTGAATTAATTTGTACAAAGCAGTGTGCAAATTATAAATATTATTTTAAAATTTTAAGTTATTCAATTTTGTAAGATTTAAAGCTCAAACTTAAGGTTTTTAACGAAAAATCCAATACATAATTTGAAAAATTATCAATAGCTTTTATTATATGTATGTATCATTGTTTTTTAGAATAATGAATTTAACGTTAACAATAATACATGTACAATGTTCTCATCGAGGACATTAAATATACTTCCGCTGTTCTCATATTTGGTTTTCGCTTTTTATTATTATATAATTTGCAGTAGTTTGTGTTCTCATTGGAAACTTAATTGTTTCAGATGTTCTCAATAAGAATTTATTTTTTCATGAGAACACTGAGAACACAGATTTCGAAAACTGATTCCAAAATACCAAGGAAGACTGACTGCTTCGAAGTGAAAGATTCTCCAGCAACACTTTTTAGAATGTTATGTTTAAATATCAAATATCTAAGCACTGTTTTTATTTTTCTTATCGCAAATTCATTGATAATACGTAATTGGGATATTCTGATTCTTTATTTAGTACATAAAAAATGATGAAATAAAAACTTAAAAATATGATAATGAGCGCAATCCCAAATTTTATCGCTATTCATATTAGAAAATTTTTGAAAAAATATCGTTATAACGTTTGTGTAAAAACAAAGATTTTATCGAATATCCGTTACTCATGTTTTTATAAGGTCCTATTGACAGAAATATTATTGACGATTGCTCAGTTGGAGCAGACCACTGTTTGAGATATCAAAATAATAATTGACGTTAAAGAGAAACTTAGACAAATATTTAATAAGATTTCCCCCCTTACTTAATGACATCAGCATAGTACTCGATCGGATTCATTTCTTTGATCGTTCTATAATAATGAACACGAATTTTAAGCGTAAATTTTAAATCTATAGTTTACATGCTCGTTTGCAAAAATACACATAAATATCGTTAAAGTTTACTTTGACGCCACCATGGCGCATAATATTTCTGCAGCAGTTACTTCAACAGAGTTTTCAACTTTAGAGTCATCCGCGTTTTTTGATTGTGACAAAGATGAAGAAAAAGACGCTGATGTTGGCGATGATTTGGTTATATTTTCTGGCATAGTCACATTTAATGATACCGGTGACGTTGAAGAGGAAGAAGCTTTGGGTTTTCTTTTTTCATCAACACAATATTCGAATATTTTATTTTTAGATTTATGTTGATCTCTTAAAAATGTATTACACGTATCGGTATACTGATTAGTTAAACATGTCGATATCGATATGACAAAACAACAAATATCATTTAATTACTGAATACGGTCTTCGAGATCGCCTCTGCTTCCCCAAGTCGGAAGACCATATTCCATGCAAATTTCTTTAAATATAAAAAAGAAATAAGACAAAATTTCTTTATATTTGAACTTAACTATTATATAAAAGAATTAAAGTACCTTTTAACTCATCTTTACTTTTTCTGCGTAAAGTGTCGGCTTTGGATCTTTTAACCGGAGGCATTGTCTCAAAGTTTATTTAATTTTATATTGCTGTTACTAGCGCTAGACTAAAAATCTGTATTTTTGTCGTATTTATCGTATCGTTACGTCGATCAAAATGAAAATATTTCGATATTGAAATTAAATATAAATTATCAAAATAAAAAAATCATTTATACGTTCGTTTAATAAGCAAAAGTAAATACACGTAACTTACCAAAAAAGGAAAAATGACAAAAAATAATTTTGATTTTTTTAGGATTTCTATAAAGAAAGATAAGGAGATAGTGCAATACTTTGTTATTGTGGTAGTAAAGGTGAAAGATAGTAAATAAGAAAAACGACGCCTACCCTATACATGTAGTAGGTCATTATGATTTTTCTAAAAGATAATGATCGATAAAAATGCAGTGTAACCCGTTCGATATCTGATGTATATTTTTATTGTTGTCAAAATATCTTTTTCAAATACATTGACCACTATAATTATGCTATATTTAGTTTTTTATTTATGATAATTAAAGATTACGTGTATGCTCTACTACTTTATTACCATAGCTGCAGGTATCAATATTACTAAAATTAGATAACTTAGTGAATTAATATTACTGTGATGCTTCGTCTTAGAGTTTGAATTATGCGCAACTCGTGTGCAATGTTAAACCAAGTGATTTGTTTATATGCAATTGACGAATAAATTTATTACTTGCAAATTTATTACTAAATTTAAATAAATTTTTTATTTCTTTAGAGTTTCAATTCAAATTAAAGTCAACTCTCGAAAGAGGCAGCAGCTATATAATTGAAGTCTCAAAAGTTTAATTAACATTTGAACAATAGATTGTATATAGCTCACAGGCGTCAGCTTTTGCAAATTAAAGGTTCCATTAAGGACCTACTTTTACATAATAAAGAACTTGCATATAATTAAAGCGATCAAATTTGACTACATTATTTTGAAATAATTTGTTCGTGATAGATATTGAAACTTGTTAAGGCTTGACTGTCAACCGGCAGACTTTCGTAATCGGCTCGATTATGGTCAACTAATGATAAATCGCATTACGTTTGATTCATGATTTTTTAATTGGCATACATTTGGTTTTATTAAATAAAACCTTTTTGCCAGTAAGAATTATTTTCAAATATGACCAATGAAACAAAGCAATTTAACGTGTTACTTGTTTAGTTATCATAGGTAAATTCGGGCTATTGTTCATTTAATCAAATTATTGGTGAAGCTTTTGATCAATGGTTGGTTCCAGCAAGGGATAATTTATAAAAGAATAGGAATTAGTTTTTCTATATTAAAAATTATTAACAATGAAAGATTTTTCTAAATGTTTTACTCTGGCAAACATCAAGAGTGAGTGCGCTTCAACCATTTGAATTGGATAATCAAGCAGTTGAAAATGAATATGTTAGGTTAAGAAATGGGAATTCTCTCACTTTGAATAAATTTAATGACAAAAGTAGATAATTTTTCGAATAATTTGCATAGTATATTCTATTATAATAAAACGAGCCCATAGCTGAATAAATCTAATAAGCCAAATCTAACTTTTCTAATTATAGTCTCGATATATGAACTTAGAACTATTATAGGATAAAGTAGTTTAAATACGCATAAGAAACATAAGAATATCAATGATTACTTAGAAATCGATATATGTGTTATAAAACCTTGGCTCCCACATAAATTTAAACAGTTTAGACTCGAAACATCATTTGCAAATTACACAAACTGAAAGGTATTCATATACAGACATTTATAAATACATATGCTTTATGAGAAATTGTATAAATTAATGTGTTATCAAAAGTCAATGAATACTAATAGTATGCAAAGTTAGAATCACCCAAAACGTTATGCATTACCCTAGACATCGCGATCAGACCCTCTCGTATTCTATAATAAAGGATATATAACGCACAGATGGCAAACCAATACAGTCAGTCCTCGTTAATGATATCAACATCACGTTATTAGCGACATATTTTGCCATATATGCAGTGTGTAAAAAACTGGAATTTTTAATTTTCTCCATAAATATTTATTTAAATAACATAAAAATTTAAATATATATACTTGAGAATATGATAAACAACTTCACTTGAACACTTATCTTATTAAAATTTATATTTTTAAAATTAAAAATTTTTAACAATAAGAAAACTTAAATAATTATTATAAATAAATTTGATTATTATTTTGCAAATTAATCAAGTAAACTTATTTACTAAATTATCAAGTATATATATTTAAAATTTTATATAATTTAAATAAATATTCATTGAATAA